GTTGATGTTTTCCTCATAGAGATTTACCTGCCTCTGCTTCCCAACTTCTGGAATTAAAAACATATGCCACTATGCCAAGATTCACTTCCTTTTTAATCTTTAAAATTAATATATTCTCTTGAGGTTATAAATTTTCACCAGTAAATTATAGACTGATAGGGTCGGTTTTCCTTTTGGTTTGTAATATTCTCTGTGGTCACAGGAAGTATTGTGGATCTTATATAGATTAGGCTAAGTTCAAAAATAGTTATTTTGCAGAAGAAAATGAAAATATATTCATATGCTACTTAGATGATTCAGTGAGTTCAGGAAAATTTCCATGTTTATAAAAGATAGGTAAGAGACTCGAGGAACAAATAAAATTGTATAATTAATCATGGAAATACATTATACCTGTTTTGCTTGTAAGGCAGTAAAAGTGCTTTTCTGGGGACCAGGGTTTGGGTCCCAGTACTCACATGGTGACTCATAGTAGTCTGTAACTGTAGTCTCATGCAACCCAGTGCCCTCTTCTTTTGACCTTTGTGGTCACTGCAAGCACTCAGTACAATGACATTCATACAGGCAAAACACCTATACACATACAATAAAAATAATTCTCTTAACACATACAATAAAAATCTCTTAAAAGAGAAATAAAAGCATTTATTAAAACATTTTTATTTGGGGGTCTCTATATTTTTTAATATGTAGCAATTTCACAAAGACTGAACAGTCCTAACCGATAAAAAATAGGGTCTTTGCTGCTGGGCAGTGGAGGCACGTGCTTTTAATCCCAGCACTTGGGAGGCAGAGGCAGGTGGATCTCTTTGAGTTCTAGGCCATTCCAGTCTACCAAGTGAGTTTCAGGACAGCCAAGAGTGTTATACAGAGAAACCCTGTCTTGAAAAACCAACCAACAAACCAACCAGCTAGCCAGCCAGCCAACCATACAAAAGGGTTTGTACTGAAAACAGATGAGGGAAGTAATCACCATATTTTCTTCACAGGAACTTATAGATAAAAATGAGTATCCAAGGTCCAAGGCCAGGGTGGTAGTGAACAGCTGCAACCTCGGCACTCAGGAGGATGCAGCAAGAAGAGGGCTGTGAATACAAGGCCAACCTGGGCTACATAGCAAGACCCTAACTCAAAAAAAAAAAAAAAAAAAGAAAGAAAAGAAAAGAAAAACCCAAAAACCAAAAAGCGGAGCACATTCGCTTAATCACAGCACTGAAGAGGCAGCAGCAGGCAGGTCTCTGTAAGTTACAGGTCAGCCAGAGATACATAGTAAGACTGCTTCAGACAAATCACCTCCCACCAATGAAAAAACGAATTGGAAAAAATATGTACATATAAACAAGCAAGGTTTTTTATTGTCACTTCAGTTCTGTAGAATACCAATTAATTTTTTGTTTGTTTGTTTTGTTTTTGGTTTTTAGGGATAGGGTTTTACTGTGTAGCTTTGGTGCCAGTTCTGGAGCTGGTTCTTGTAGACCAACCTGGCCTTGAACTCAGAGGAATCTGCCTGCCTCTGCCTTCTGTGCTGTGATTAAAGGCGTGTACCACTACGGCCCAGCTCCAACTAAGTTTTTTTGAATGATTACATGTTTATAGTATTCCCAGAAATATTCTGTATTACTTTTCTGGGAATGCTTGAAATTGACAGGCTAGTGTTTAGAAATCTAAAATGTCCTTGTTATTGTTTTTATCTTTACATTTTAATGAAATAATTCTATGGATTTTTTTCATGGTAATTTAATGCTAATATGTAAATAAATAATTGTCTTACACATTAGGAAATGCTGTTGTAGTGCTTTCTGGAGGAAGGGGGCAGATAGTTCTCTATACGCTCTCAGACACTGCTGCTGTAATGCTTATACATTCTAAGCATTTTACATTTCAAATACTAAATCCTTTTTAATCTTCAACCCAGCTTGTATGCCAATTTAACTTAATAGAATTCAGTATTGATCTAATTGCTTATAAGTGAACTTCCCATGATTCCCTCTTTGAGTTTAATTAATTTACTCGTACAGCAACTCCAAACTCAGGAAACATTTACTAATTCATTATAAATAGTTTTGGTTTTTCGAGACAGGGTTTCTCTTTGTAACAACCCTGACTCTCCTAGAGCTAGCTCTTGTAGACTAGGCTGGCTTGGAATTCACAGACATCCATGTGCCGCTGCCTCCCAAGTGCTAGGATTAAAGGCGTGCACCACCACTGCCTGGCTATAAAAAGAATTTTAAAGCAGATAAATGAATAGACAATGAGGTGATGCATAGGACAAGGTCTGGAAGCCTCAATCTCAAGTGGGAGTTTGGCCGTGCCTCTTTCTTGGGACATGGTGTGTTCTTGTTCACTTTCCTGGATATCTGAATTAAGAGACTTCCATTATATAAATAGGATTGACTAAATCTTTGACTGTTGTTTATTACTCTAACCCCCAGGCCTTCTGCTACCTTGAAGTTGGAGGATGGGTGAGCACTAACCCTTTGAGGACATAGTTTATTCTTGTGGCAACCAGACTCTCCTACCATCTTATATCATTTAACAACTGTTCCCCAGATCACATTATGAATACAGTCTCAGGCGGTTGAAAGGTGTTTGTTATAAATTAAAACTAAAAAGCAAGAGAGATGCTGTCGAGAAAAGCAAGCAAACAAAACCCATCTTTTGTCTTTATCATTTTGAAGTGGAAAGCCAAAACTTTAACCACAGAGGCTTATTGTTCTATTTAATGTAGGAAGTTGCTAGGAGCTGTAAGCCAGGAACCCTGGATCAAAACAAATACATAATTTGCTGTTGACTTCATTGTGGCTTTGCACATATATACTTTCCCTTTGTCCTTGGCAGGGATGCTTGTAGTTTGCATTCTTGTGTGCATGAAAGTTAAACTCAGAAAGGAGGAGGGGGGAAGTGCTTTAGAAATACAAGTTCACAACATTCATGCTGCTTTGTGTCATCCATTGCAAATAGTGCATACTGTCTTCTAGTGTTCCTCTGAAAATCAAGAATATAGACACAACTATCACAAAATTTAGGTTCATTTATAGCTAATAGTTGGAACAGATGGAGGAACATTAGATATATCTTTCTTTGGACAAAACATATCCAAAATGAGTATCATAGCATTTTCCAAAGGAAAAAAAAAAAAAAAAAGGAAAAAACTTTAAACCCAAAGTGGCTACAAATCAGCTTCTAAATTGTCATTGACATTAGCATCTAGATTTTGTAGTTTTTACAGATCTTTAGGAATATTTATTTACTAAGAAAACATTGCATTAATGCATGATATAAAATTAATAAATTTTTCTTTAAATTGGAATGCAGTTTAAAAGTGACTGAATTTTCTAGTTTCAGCTGCTGCATTTGACAAGGATACAAACTAAAAAGTGGAACTGGTGTCATCTACTCCTTCAGGTTCTTTGACTTATGGTAGTTGGGAGAAAAATTTTGAGTGTGGCATTACATAGATCACATTACGGATGGCTAACATGACTGTGCTCTTCAACCTTGACAACAATGGAAAATTTGGGGGTGGTCGTCATTCTTTCATGTATTTACATGTTTTGATACGTACTTTCAGTTGGGTTCAGTTAATTTACTAGCACAGCTTTTTATTATCTAAACATTGAATTTCTTACATTTTAGCACTATAATTGACAATGAATATTGTGATTTCAATAATGGTACATCAATTTAAATAATAGTACATCACATTTAAATTTTTATTGCATAGTTTTAAAACTGGCATAAATGGCTGTGGACACAAATTTAAGCACATTACCAATTTTTCTTTATGCGTTCAATTATATCTTGTACACAATAAAATAGTATTTTTGAAATTACAGGTAACGTCCAGCCTAAGCAGTGTTAATGTGTCTGAGTTTATGCTGTTAAGGGTTAGAGCAGCATTGTTGCCAGCACTACTGCTAGCTGCCACACAATCTGTTCTGCAGATATTTATGTAAATCTACTTTTTTTTGCTATGCATACTTGATACATAATTGAAAATATTTTTATAGGAATTCTGGTGTTCTAGAAATTTTCATGCTTAATTTTTTTGTTAAACTTTAGACAGTAAGATGTACTATTCACTACCATATATAATTAGCAGGCCTTTTTAAAAGAGAGCTAATAGATAAGGAGCTAATTTTTGAGCACATGAGTCTTTAGGAAAAAGTCCATCTAGTAGCCACCCTTTGCTGCTTTTTATTCATTCTTAAAGGATGGATTTTTTTTTGTTACTCTTGGTTTTGATGTGCTGTTTTTATCTTTGAGATTCTCAGTGACCAACCTGTTTATCTTCTACAACCAAGCATGTTCCCATTAAGTCTTCCTCACCTCTCATGGATTTTACAGCTATAGTAATGGTACCAGTTCCATTTTGCCTCCAGTTCAGTTGATTATCTTTTTTTTTCTCTATTTATTTTTCATTTTATAATTGGTATCTGGAATAATCAGCAGCTCTTTTCTCATTTACTTTCTCATATTTTTATTCCAGGATTTGCCTCTGAAGCAGGGAGTGTCTGCATTAAAAATGACCTGTAGTTCTCTGCTTCATAGGTTAGAAACTTATTTTAATATTTTGTGGCTAAGCACAGTCCCACTTTTCAAATTCTATAATGAATTATTTAATTGGCATTGAATGTGGACCACAAACATATATATTTCACATTGGGGTTTTCTGTATTACTTTAATGATTAAAATTCAACAGAACATTCAGCTGAGGCAATAAAAGCTTTATTCTGGCTTTACAGCTTAAAACACTAAATTAGATTTTTAAAAATTTAACAATTATAACAAAAGTAAAAATGCTATTTGGGCATTTTTTAAAAAATTGTATTTCTTAGGCTTTGTATTGCTTAAAGCATTTATATTCTAAAACTTAACCAAATTCCAATTATTCGTTTGGGGAAAACAATCACTTCACAAATCACATTTTCATTGGGACTGCTAGCCAGCATAGGTGAAAACATGTATAGTGTATTTACTCTTGGATTGTACACTGCAGATGCTTCTTCAGCTCCCTCCTCTTCCTCCATGGGCGGTGCTTGCAGCTCCTTTACCACCTCTTCCAGCCCTACCATTTATTCTACCTCAGTCACCGACAGCAAGGCTATGCAAGTGGAGAGCTGCTCCTCAGCCGTGGGGGTAAGTAACAGAGGGGTAAGTGAAAAGCAGTTAACCGGTAACACAGTTCAGCAGCATCCATCAACCCCGAAGAGGCACACAGTGTTGTACATCTCACCACCACCTGAGGACTTGCTGGATAACAGTCGGATGTCCTGCCAGGATGAGGGGTGTGGATTGGAATCTGAGCAGAGCTGCAGTATGTGGATGGAGGATTCCCCCTCCAACTTCAGTAACATGAGCACCAGTTCCTACAATGATAACACTGAGGTACCTCGTAAATCACGAAAACGAAATCCAAAGCAGAGGCCGGGGGTCAAACGACGAGATTGTGAAGAATCTAATATGGATATATTTGATGCCGACAGTGCCAAAGCACCTCACTATGTGCTTTCTCAGCTTACCACGGACAACAAAGGCAACTCAAAAGCTGGAAATGGGTTGGTATCCACATTTTTTAAAGTTCTATCAACATTATGCAAAACAACAGTAAATCATTCCCAAATTTTCTTAATTCTCAGTTCAAATTTGCATATAAAGCAAAAAATGCTAATTTTATCCTCGAAGTACATGAAATTTTCAACTTAAAATAAATTTTACTAGAAAAAAATAATTTGAAAATAGCTGTAGATTATAGCAAAGGAATTTTGTTCTGGGTTATATTTAGGGGTAGTAGAAAAGATAATCTGTTTTGAAATAACTTAAACTTCAAATGGGCTTATTTTAAAAGGAATAAGCAGCAGTGTGATGATGCTAGCTAAAACACTTAAATGTTCTCCAGAAGCTAATTTGTTCTTTTAGCAGTTTATTTCATATGGTTCATTCCATTATATTTTTCAAAGAATTATACGTTTTATTTTTGTTTTTCATCTTTACTTGATGAAAACAAGAAAAAAACAAAGATGACTCAATTCTCATGTAGGTGCCTCTGTTTGAATCTTTTTTTCCTTTGATACATTTTTCTAGTTCAGGACTTTTTTAAAAAATTGTCCCTCTGCCCTCTGGATTCTGTTTCTTTCTTGAAGGATGATAAAACAGGATCATGGGTACATATTTGAGCTTTCGCTTTCGTCTGTGCCTTTGGTGCACTGCTCACCAAATATATTTAAATGGTTATATTACAGAATAGTCCATGGTATAATACAAATTAGCATGATTTACTTTAGGATTCCTTTAGTGTTTTAATTGTAATATTTAGTTGCTAGACTTTTTCTACAGTGTATTCAGTAAAATTTAACTCACTAGTTTTTAAGGAGGCAGACTATGATTCCTTAGGTGACCCAGGATTACTTGGATCCATGCTTGCCGCAAAAAAATAAAAAAGCCTGAAATGTTAGATTGGCGTATTCCGTGATGACATCTTTGATCTGTTACATTAAAAACCCAACTCAGTATTATATTTGTTGTAGTAAATATTAAACATGTCTGCAAATAATTCCCTGTGTGTATTATAAATTCGTAAGTCATTTAAGCAAGAATTAGTTAAGTCTATACTCAACATATTTGAAAAAACTCATTTCCTTATAGTCTAACCTGAAAATTAATTTGAAAAAAATTAACATGCTTTTTTCCTTTATACTTTTATTTAAAACTTCTTTAGAATGCTATACTTAAATAATTTAAATGATTTACAGTTTCAAAAAGTCTAGATTAGGCAATTTCCAAAAGCAAACAAGATATATGGCCATTCCTAGTATGCCACATTTTAATAGTCCAGAACTTGAAAAAGGAGTATTTACTCAACTATAAAATGTAGGTTAAGGCTCTGAAACATGATGAACACACCGAGTCATGTGAGGAAGTGTGACTGACGGTACAGATCTGAAAGTTGTGTGGATGCCAGGATATGCATGTGTGCTTATTTGGGCTGCAGTGGAAAAGGTCTTTATAAATTTTCAGAGAAAGGTATTTTTCTATTTGTACTGAAATAATTATTAAAATTACCAGTTAAGAACAGTAAAGTTTGGACTTGGGGATGGCCAGCATCAAACAGTGATTTACTGTTGCTGGTTGAAGAGATTTCCTGACCTGCTTTTTTCTGCTTCTGCTTTTGTATGATAGATAAATCTTAGAAATGATTTGAGGTTACCAGGGAAAGTATAGTGACATTGGTCAAGACAAACCTTTTATGAAATAATTCATGAAGCAGAAACTCCATCAAGCAGCAGAAGAAATGCCCATCTTCTTAGGTAATGGAAAATTATTTGACAATAGTATGTGGAAATGATGAAGAAGTTTAAAATTTGAATTTATAAGAAATATATTGAGGAAAGGACGAAACTAAATGTAAAATACATGAACAACCATTCTTAATCTGTAGTTGGAGCTAATTGCCTATTTTTCCAGTGATGAGAAAGATGTTAGAAACATGAAACTTTGAAATGCTTTGAGAGATAAGTAATACAGTCTTCAATATGAGGTGACAACAATTTGCAGTTTATATAATGCTAAATATTTATTAAATGAACTTTCAAGTGTGCTGCAAAAAGAAGTTTATTTATCTTCATGATGCCGGAAGTCTTGATAACTGATGGACAGAAAGACAATTACTTTTACAACTAAAAAAATAGAGCTTATTAAGGAAACATCTGTTTTCAAAAAGTTGCTTATTTGTAAATATTGCTGACTGTCTCAGTCTTAAATTCTTCAACTACTGTCCTGAGAATCAACAGCACAGTTTCACCTAAAGTTCTAGAAGTCTAGATATATCATGTGCATCTGAAAGTCATTTAAGGCCTTTTTGTAGTGAAAATTATTTTTATAACTTAGGCAACCTGTAGGAATATCTAGCACAGAAGGACCTGAATGTCATTCTAAGACTTCTGTGTAGAACATGACACAGGACGTTGTCTGTGGTAATTGTCATTTAGATGTCACCTGCCTTTGATGTCTAGCCCTGCAAAAATCAATCAACTAATCCCCCATGTAATGAATTGCTGCTTGCTTCCTTTTTCTGTTTTACCTTAACAATTTACAAATGGAATTGCTACTCTTCTAAGAATTAGTTGATCTTTTTATTGTTTTACGTGTTTGTAGATACAAATATACATGTTTTCCATTTTTTTCATTTAAACCTAGAGAATAAAGAGAATTTTAGAATATAATTTCAGGGCCAGGCATTGTAAGTGGTAAATCTGTGAAAACCCAAGCAAAAGGGAGGCTGAGGTAGTGGGGTTTTGAGGAGACCAGCCTGACCTGTAGTGAGTTCAAGACCAGTTTGGGCTGTGTAGTAAGAGCTCTCTCTCAAAGAAGGAAGGAAGGAAGGAAAGCAGAAGCATTTTCAGTATTTTAGAATTTTTTTATTACTTCCTTGTGATTTTTTTGTGTGTATTTAAATATTTATTTAGCACATACATATTAATTCATTCAACAAATATAGATACTTATTTTACAGGAATCACTGTTATTTACTTTCAGAATACTAGCTTGAGTGGTATAAATATAAAAAGCACAGCTGACAAAATTAGTTGTCATCATTCAAATTTTCTTAGTATTTCAGTCTAAAATTTATCATTTTTTATTATGACTAGTACATATGAACTATAAATATTTGAAAATACAGGAAAGTAATTCAGTCACTCATGTAAACTGCTATTATTATGCTATAATTTCTTTTAGTTCTTGTGTGTATATATATATCTATATTTATTTATACATAAAGTATGTGGGACGTATTTTTTCATAGTTTCACAATACCTTTCCTCCCCTTTGGTAATAAGATGAATACAAACAGATTATTATAGAATCTTGTGTTTAAGATATTGTACACTCTTCAAACATTTGAATTCACTCAGAACTCTAAAACAAACAAACAAACAAATTTCTTGCCCCCATTGTTCTGGCTTCAGCTTGGTACTTTTATTCATAGATTCATTCCTCTAGGGCCTTTAAAATGACTTACACATACAGGTAATCTTTGACTTAGTTGTGTCAGATTTTTGTGAATGGCATTTCTTGTCCAGTTAAGGTCTGGTCTTGCCCATCTCCTTATTATAAAAGCTCCTTTTTCTCTCTGCTTTCCTTGTCCATTTTGTCTTCCTGTTTGCCTTCATCAGCAAACATCCTATGTGAACTTTCCCTTGCTACTGAATTCTTTATCAGTGCTATCCTTTCCCCCACACTTCTGCCCCTTTCATAGGTAGTTTGTTTATTGAATGACTGCCTTTTCCTTTGTTCTTATGGTTGAACAATAGCTTGGTTTACCTGGATTGGTAAAGTATGGGGCCAGGTTTAAAGCTGTTCTTTGTTTTTAAAATCATATTATTCTTCTGGGGACCCAGTTACTTTATTGTGAGTGAAAAGAACGACAGGCCCTGACTTTTCGAGAACATACATGGATGATTTTAAATCTACTTCATGTTTCTTGGAGGGGGTGGGGGGTGTTGTGTGTGTGTATGATTTTATTCTGCTTATTTCTATCAGGTATTTGCATTGCTACTTCATTAGAAGCCGTAATCACAAATTTGGGTATTATATTATAAACAAAAATATGCTTAAAACAGTCTTAGAACCAGGCCTGTGCCTGAGGTAGGTGGGGCAGCAGATCTTCAATTATTGAGCAGCTTAAAGACAGCCTGGGATATATGAGATCCTATCTCAAAAACCTACAAAACAAAGCTTCCACAATTAAAAAAAAAAACAAGTAAAATTACGTTTGCTATAGATAGAGCTCAGATAAGATTTTTTTATTGAACTTTTACCATTTAACCAGTCACAGATAAAAATAATCTGAAAAATCACACTTATTAAAGTAAACCTCATTCCCAATAAAAATCGAATCACTGATTTTTTTATTATAAATTTCTCATTTTGATTTACTGAGAAAGGGATTCAAAAGGATATTTCTGATTAATGATTGATATATACCTCCATTGTCAATCTTTTAGGCCTTTTTTATGTTGGTTTAGTAGTTCTTACCATTCCCTTTTTTTCTTTTGCTTTGCAAATCTGATTTAAAAAGTAATCATAATCTTTAGTTTTATATAAGACTCGTGTGATTTTTACATTTCATTTTAACTGAATTGTAGTGTGAAAACAAATTATTGCATTGTTTTCCTTCTACCACCCAACAGTTTTTTTCTTTTCCCTTTCCAGCTTTCTTTTTCATGGCATTTAGTTATACTTGGCTCAAAAATATTTTAAAGATACTTTGGTTATATAGGATGTTCCTTCCTTTAGACTGTATTCTATTTTATCAATAATCTAAACAGTTATTTTCTATGTTATCGCCCATCTGTTTCTTCCTTTAAGTAGCTTTTGCAGAAAACGGTTTCTGATATTTTCTTCCCATGTTGTGCTTTGGTTTCTCAGAACATTGGACAACCAAAAGGGAGCTGGAGTAAAGAAGAGCCCTATGTTGTGTGGACAGTATCCTGTTAAAAGTGAGGGGAAGGAGCTGAAGATAGTTGTACAGCCTGAAACCCAGCACCGAGCTCGGTACCTGACAGAGGGCAGCCGAGGCTCAGTAAAAGATAGAACACAGCAAGGCTTTCCAACGGTGAAGGTACTCATTTTATTTTGTAATGTCTGAATACTGAGATACTTTGTGGGTAAAGGTTTATTCCCAGAACCCGAAGAGAACTGGCTCTACTTAGTTGTCCTGACCTCCCCACACCCATGCCACAGCACAAACATGCCCACATACGTGCTTCCCACACACAATCATCAAATAAATTGAATAAATTTAAAAATAATACATATGTATGTGATGAATTTTCTTTAGTTTTATTATTTTAACATAAGCTTCCTGGAATAGAGGGATAGAATTATTAGTTAGCTCGGTATAATAGAAAACAAATGTCTAATTGCGTCATAAGCCAAATAGTATTTAAGTAATATTTGAATTGTTGTTTGTTTAGCTGGTTGGTTTTGGTTTTTTAATGTTTTACTATAACTCAGGAACTCAATAAATATAGTCCAGGCCAGCCTTGAATTCATGGCAAGCCCTCTGCCCCAGTCTCCTGAGTGCTTGAATTATAGGTATGAGCCAACATGCCTGGTTAAATTTTAGCTAGAAAGATGAGAATTTGTTCTGAAAAGAAAAAAATATCTGCAGTTCATCATTTATTTTCTTTGTTTGTTTGGTAGTGATAGTAGATTCATCTGAAAATATTTAAGAAGAAATTTTAAAGTGAATGCAAAGAAACATAGCAGAAATTACTAAGAACTTAGCCAGAATTGTAGCATATGCATTCATTCTTTCATTCCTTTACTCATTCATTCATTCATTCATTCATTTATTTATTTTTGTGTATGAGTGTTCTGTCCATATATACAAATGCATGCCAGAAGAGGGCATCAGATCCTGTTATAGATGGCTGTGAGCCACCATGTGGGTGCTGGAAATTGAACTCAGGACCTCTGTCCCTCCTATCTACGAGGCAAAGAAAGGCAGAGCTCCATGAATTGGAGGTCAGCATGGTCTCCATAGAGAGTTCCAGGCTAGCCAGGAGTACCAGTCTCAAAACATAAGAACTTGGAAAATAAGAGTTTCAAAGATATCAGAATTACCTTTTAAGAACTTTGACTTGTAGTAAAATTTTACTACTTGGTGTATTTATTATAAAGAAAGTTATCATTGAAAATATGGACTGTCATTCATTTCACACTTGAATGAAATGATTGAAGCTCAGGATTGGGAAACTTGTCTGTGATCATTTATTTACATCAGTGTTACTGCTCTGATCCATCTGCACCCAGTCCCTCAAGTCCAGCACACATAACAGGCAAGAGAGAAATTCAAGTTTTGCTTTGTGTGTGTCTAGCTGGATAGTTTAGTAGTTTTGTCAGTCTTCTTAATCTGATTATCTGTCTTAAAGTTCTGCTTGGTTTAAGTACTTACACAGTTAAATGCATTAGTATTAGATTAATTGCCTTACTATGATAGGAATGAATGACTGCCCTGAGCAGTTCATTTACTCACTCACTCAATAGACACTCAAAAAACAAACAAACAAAAAACCCAAATTTTTTACGTTTTCTGTTCTCTGCTAAAATATTACATAATCAATCTATAAAGGGAGGCCAGAATGGATACATGTTTCTTTATTTCTTTAATTATTTTTATGATGATGATCATCTACTGCAAAGAGATGCAAATATAATGGGATAGAAAGATGTGGCATTTTTGTAATTTTTCCTTGCATTTTTTAATCAACACCTTCAGTGTCTTTTAAACATGATATTCTATATATGAACTAACATTTTTTTTTATGAGAGTTTTTCTAGAGACTTATAGTGATCATGTATCTGACCATAGATGTTCTGGCCCAGGATTTCATGAAACAGTCTTTAGAAGTGAACTTCATTTTTCTGTCATTTCAAATGCTTTTCTTCTTAAACTGCTTCCGTAGTAATAATTTATCATATATATTCTCATTTGATGATGAAGACGTTTCTGTTAATATAATTCAGTGGTGGTAGCATATCCCAAGTAATCTAATCTGTATACTGCAATTGCGTATCTATTCCCATCTGTTTATATAAATAGATTTTGTGATAGTTTAGCTTAGACATTTAAAGGAATTTAAAATGTAGTTATTGTAGAACTAGTACAGTATTTTTCTTTATTTTGGTTGTGAGTCTGGCCTTTGATGGTTGAACCACCTCCAGCTCCCCCTGCATACTTTATTTTTTTGAGACAGGACTCTCTATAGTTCTGATTATCATGGAATTCACAGAAATCCACCTATCTGTACTGTGGCACCAGGCCTGACTGCAATTTTTCTTTATAAGAAAATGTTTGAGCTGGATTGTGGGTAGAGTACTAACTAGCATTTGTGAGCATCTGGGTTTAGTCTTCAACACACCAAAAACAAAAAGGAAGGAAAAGAAGAGTTTACATATTTTCTTTTATGTTTAAAACTAGATGAAGTTCAGTTTTAATATAGGATTTGATTTTAGTTTTTGAGACAGGGCTTCTCTGTGTAGTTGTGGCTGTCCTGGAACTCACTCTGTAGACCAGGCTCCCTGGAACTCAGAGATCCGCCTGCCTCTGCCTCCCAAATGCTGGGATTAAAGGCGTGCGCCACCACTGCCTGGCCAGGATTTGATTTTGAATGTTGAGTTTATAATGAGCTTATTTAAAATGCCACCCAGTGCTTATGCTGCATGTTTTCTGGTTCCAGCTGGAAGGTCATAATGAACCGGTAGTGTTGCAGGTGTTTGTGGGCAATGATTCTGGTCGAGTGAAACCACACGGATTTTACCAAGCCTGTAGGGTAACTGGACGAAATACCACCCCCTGCAAAGAAGTGGACATTGAAGGGACCACTGTTATAGAAGTCGGCCTCGATCCTAGCAACAACATGACACTGGCGTAAGAACTTAATAAAATCGCTCTCTTTCTCTCTCTCTCTACTTCTCCCTTGCCCTCCTCCCTTTTCCCCTCTCCCTTTTCTTTTTCCTCCCCCTTTTCCCCCCTCCCCTTTCCCTTTTCCTCTTTTTAGTGGCAAGGTTGGGCAAGGTTGCAGTATATCATTTTGACTGGCTTGGAACTCACAGAGATCTGCCACCTGGGTGCTAGGTTAAAGGTGTGTGCCACTATGCCTGGCAAATTTTTATTTTATTTTTTGTATGTTTTTTTTGTTTTGTTTTGTTTTTATTCTTTTTGGAGACAGGATCTCTCTACATAGCCCTGGCTGTACTGTGGAACTACTGTATAGACCAGGCTGGGCCTGTCTCTGCCTTCCAAGTCCTTACATTAAAGTTGTGCACCACCACACTTGGCTGATGGGAAATTTTAAAAATGGATCTACTTTATTTATGTGTGTGTATTCCTTTGTGAGTTTATGTGAATTATGTGTGTGCAGTTGCCTTCAGAGGATATTGAATCTTCTGGAATTAAAGTGACAGGCAGTTGCGAGCCAACCTGCATGACTGCTAGAAACCAAACCCAAGTCCTCTGCAAGATTAGCAAGTGCTCTTAACCTCTGAGCCATTTCTCTAGTTCCTACGATACTTTTTATTATTTATTATACTTTTATGATACTTGGGAAAATATTTATCATTCTAGAGAATAGAAGATTTTGAGTCTCTCTCTCTCTCTCTCTCTCTCTCTCTCTCTCTCTCTCTCTCTCTCTCTCTCTCGTTTTTTCAAGACAGGGTTTCTCTGTATACCCCTGGCTGTACTGGAACTAGCCCTGTAGACCAGGCTGGCTTCTAACTCAGAGATCCATCTGCCTCTGCTTCCTGAGTGCTAGGTAAGGTATGGGTCACCATGTTTAGCTGATTTTGAGGATTTTACTAAAATGTTTTAAATAGAACAAACTCTTCTTTTAAAGAGGTTCCTACAGGGCTATAGCAGTGGTTTTGCTCACAACCAAAAAGACAAAAAGGGTCCTCTAGAATGGTGACGGACTAAATTGGGAAATGAAGGCTCAGGAGAATGCTGGCTTTTTAGAAGATGAGATCAAGACTTATTGAAATTTTTAATATTAATACTGAGAATAAAAGTTACATAGCCAGGGGCCTGGGGGATGTATCTTGATTGGCCCTTCGTTGGATCCCCAGCACAATGTGACCTAGGTGGGTCTGTAACACAAGCACTCAGAGGTGGAGTCAAGAGAGCCAGAAGTTCATGGTCACACTTGACTACATAATGAAATTGGGACCCTGTTTCCAAAAGAAAACAGAGAAGAAATATTTTTTAAAACCCTAAAATAACCCTTCCAGAGGTGGTTCAGAGAAGACATCCTAGGGCCTATATGGTAGAATGAGGTACTGAGTCACAAAAAGTTGTCTTCTGACCTCCACACATACCTTGGCATGCCTGCCTTCAACAAGAATGAACAAATGAATGTTCTAAAAATTGTATGAATAACTTAAATTTTATTGTGTGGATTTTTTGTGGGGGAGGGTTGTTTGTTTGTGTTTTGTGTTTGTTTTTGTATAGTCCTTGCTGTCCTGGAGTTCTCTATATAGACAATGTTTATCTTTCCAGGTTTTTGTTCAGTTTTGTTTTTGACAAAATTGAGATAATACTATGTCCATTATTTTGTAATCTGCTTTTCAGTTAATTTAGGAATATTTTGCAGTTTTTAAAAATGCTACCAGTTTTTAATGCCTATATATAACCTTCCACTGCAGAGGCTAGTTACTAATTTTTTCCCCCTGAGGTAGGGTTTCTCTGTGTAGCTTTGGAGCCTGTCCTGACACTAACTCTGTAAACCAGGTTGTCCTTGAACTCACAAAGATCCACCTAACTCTGTCTTCCCCAGTGCTGGGATTAAAGGCGTGTGCCTGGCATTTTTTTTTTTTTAATAAAGCATAACCCATTCTGGTTTTTAAAAACATTTTACTTGAGGTGTATGAAGTTTTGCCTGTATGTCTATGCACCACTTGTATGCCTGATGCCCACAGAGGGCATCACATCCTCTGAGACTTCAGTAACAGACAGTTTTGAGCCTTCATGTAGGCGTTAGGAACTGAGGCATTGTCCTCTGTTCTAGTTAGATAGAGCCAGTGTTCTTAATTGCTGAGCCATCTTTCCACTCCCTCATTCTGTTTTAATATCTGAGTTAGCTACAAAAACAAAGTCCATTTTCCTTTCTAAAAGAAACAGAACAGGGGCTGGAGAGATAGTCCATCAGTTAAGAGCACTTATGGCTTGTTTAGAGGGATTAGGGTTTCAGTTCCCAGCACCCACATGGCTGCTTAGAAGCTGACTTTATTTAATTCCAGTTCCAAGAGATCTGATGCCCTCCTAGCTCCGAGGATACCAAGCACACACATGGTACACAGATACACTGACAAACAAATGCATACAATAAATAAATAAGACAGTATATGCTATGCATACACACACACACACACATATATATTTTTAAAGGCAGAGTCTCACTGTATAGCCTGAGTTTCCTGGAACTTGCTATGTTGACAAGACTGGCCTCAAACTCAGAGAGGTCTGCCTGCCTCTACCTCACAAGTACCCACAAAAATACATAAGTCTTTTGAAGGCCATTACTTATGTTCATATTTAAGGAATAATTTTGTTTCTTTACTGTTTTTTCATTTTAAATAGAAGACTGATGAGAGTAAGAGCTTTAGTATTTAAAATTTATTATTTGGGGGCCTTTTGACTATTACATATTCAAAGAATTAAAAGAATCAGCCTTTTAAATAAAGAAACTTGTTTTAAAATGTTGTACTATTGCTGGGCAGTGGTGGCACTGACTTTAATCCCAGCACTGAGGAGTGAGAGGCAGGTAGATCTCTGTGAGTTTCGGACCAGCCTGATCTACAACCATCTCAAAAAAAAAAATCTCAAAAACAACAACAAAACGTTGTACTATTTAGACAATAACAGTGTCATTTGGTCGATTTTTTTTCTGTTTTTAGGGTGGACTGCGTAGGAATATTGAAGCTGAGGAATGCCGATGTTGAAGCCAGAATAGGAATTGCTGGTTCCAAGAAAAAGAGCACTCGAGCCAGATTGGTTTTTCGAGTCAATATCACAAGGAAAGACGGCTCCACTCTGACATTGCAGACACCCTCTTCCCCAATTTTGTGTAGTAAGTAAGGAAATACGGAGATGCTAGATATATGAAGAGTTCTTAAGCTCAATTTTTCAGGTATCTGTAAAATTTAATGTTTATACTTCATCTCATGAACATGTCAAACTTGAAACACTTTAAAGCTGTAGTCAAGAGAACACAGTGGTGCTGGATGGATGGTGGTGGTGCACGCCTTTAATCCCAGCATTTTGGGAGGCAGAGACAGGCAGAACTCTGTGAATTTGAGGCCAGCCTGGTCTACAGAGTGAGTTCCAGGACAGGACAGGCTCCAAAGCTACTGAGAAACCCTGTCTTGGAAAAAAAAAAGTTGTTAGCTGGATTGGTGGCACAGACTGTAATCCTAGTTAACTAAGGGTAGAAGCAAGAAGATGGCCAGAGTATAGTCCAGTCTGTTCTGAAAGACAAGATATGTTTCAGACTCTAAGTCATTCTTAGCTCTCACCTTAGTAGTGAGGTTAAGGACATCCTGAGCTACCAGAAATCCATCTCAGAACTTAAAAGTATTAAAATACATTAGAAAGATACCTAACCATTTATAGGACCCTATTATCATCATATGCTGATATTGTAAAGGGCTGAAGAGAGGATGGTTGTTCTTCTAGAGCACTTAGATTTGATTCCTAGCAGTTACAGGGTAGCGCAGAGTCTCAGGGATCTGATGCCCCATTCCCCCTCCATGGGCAGTGTATGCATGTGGTGCACAGACATACATGCAGGCAAAACACATAAAATTATGTTAAATTAAAAATAATTAAGTAATTTGAGGGCTTCTAAGATGGCTCAGCAGGTAAAAGCACTTGTTACCAAGCCTGATGTTATGAGTTGGGTCCCTGGAACCCATATGGTGGAGAGGACTGACTCCCATAAGTTGTGATACACAATATAAATTTTAATGTAATTTAAAAAATATTTTACATAATTTGAGCCAGAGATTGTGTCACTTAAGTGTCCTGGATTAGTTTCCCAGCAGTGTCCCCCCAAATAAGTTATTTAAATAGGATGCCAGAAGGCAATTGCCTAGCCCTAGGATTTCTAAGCTTCTTTGCCATGAGCTTTTAGAACATTAAAGCCAAACAAGCATTATGTGTAGTATGTGTTTAGGTGTGTGTGCTCCACAGTGCACATGCAAGGTCAAAGCCTGCTTTTAGTAATGGGTTCTTTGCTTCTGCTGTGTGGATTCTGGGACCCAAGACTTAGAGCCATCTCACCAACCCAAACACATTGATTTCTTTAAAAATAGAGTTTTAGGGGCTGCTTAAGGTGGCTCAGAGGTTAAGAGCACTGACTGATCTTCTAGAGGTTTTGAGTTCAATTCCCAGCAAGTACATGTTGGCTAACAACCATCTGTAAGGAGATCTGGTGCCCTTTTCTAGCCTGCAGACATATATAAAAAGGACTATTTATCATTATTGTTATAAATAATAAATAAATCCTTTTAAAAAATACATTTTTTAAATTTAGTGTGAATGGATGGTTTTGCCTGTTTACCACATCGTTCCTGGTACCCACAGAGGCCAGAAGATGACATCAGATCCCCTGGAACTGAAGTTAGAAATGATTGTGAACCATGTGGGTGCTAGGAATTGAACCTGACAACTTGAGTTTGATATCTGGACCCACTTAGTAGAAGTAAAGAACTGACTCTCACAGGTTATTCTTGGACTACCCACTGTGGCATGCATGTGTACATGCTTGCATACATAGAGAGAGACACAGGTGGATACACAGTCTGACATAAATAAAATGTAATAACTCCCCCCCCAATTTGTGATTAACAGAAACAATTCATAAAACTGGATTCATGATATAAGTTATAGATTAGACTGAGTGTTGGTGGCTCTTTTTATGGAATGTTTATCTGTGTATATCCACAGCTCAGCCAGCAGGAGTTCCTGAGATCTTAAAGAAAAGTTTGCATAGCTGTTCAGTGAAAGGAGAGGAAGAAGTGTTTTTAATTGGGAAGAACTTTCTGAAAGGAACTAAAGTTATTTTCCAGGAAAATGTTTCTGGTAAGTAGGGCATATAAGTGTTCCATGTTTCCCTTATAAGAATACAGTTAAAGCTGCAGAGTGGAAAAGTTCAAAATCTTTTAAATCACTGTTTTTGTTTCCATCAGATGAACACTCTTGGAAATCAGAAGCTGAGATAGACATGGAATTGTTCCATCAGGTACAATTTAAACGTTTGAAGTAATTTTGTTGTTTGTTCTGAGCAGTTTCACTTTTGTTTGGGCAGCTTCATCAATTATGTATTTTATTTATTCTGTCACATAATCAGGTGACTCCCACTTTGCCATGAGCAGCAGGAACATCCTCTAGAGCACTATTGGCAGGAACAAGTGGGGTCCTTGCAATACCAAGCGTGTAATAGATACCATGGAAGACTTGTCAGTTCATTTCATTGTCCTGAAGGAAAAGGGAACTGTGATCTAAAGTCTGCTCTTTCTGAGGGCACTGCACCCCTTGTTCTAATTTAATTCTATGTATCTAGTTTTACTAGGTAATTGAAGCCTATGACTCAATAGAATACTTTCTTGTGCTGTGAACATGTATCAGTTTGTTATTGTTATTGTTACCTATTTAGACAGGGTCTCACTACATACACACTTTGAATTTTGACATATTGGTTAGATTACTATAATCCCCCTTTATTTTAGTGTGCTCTCCTTTCCCCTCACCCTCTCCTTTACCCTCATTCTCTTCCCCTTTATTGTCTTCTCTCCCACTTGTTTCAATTTTCCTATCCTCTTCTATCCATTTTTTATTCTTCCTTCCCTTCTGAGAAATGGGATGTTACCCACCCCACCCCCTGTTTTTTTCTTTTCGTGAAATGCTCATGTAGTCTAGGCTGGTTGTGAATTCGCTATATAGCCAAGGGTGACCTTGAACTTCTGCCTCTGCTTCCCAGGTGCTGGGATCATAAACATGTATTATTATACCTGGCTTCTCCAGTACCAGGGATTGAACCCAGGGCTTCATGCATGCTAGACAAGCACTAACAGTTGAGCCATGTCCATCCTCAGCCTAATAATTAAATTTACATGAAAAAATATGTATGATGTATATGTGTGGGCACACATGGCATGTAGTATGTGCATAATAAGTCAGGACAGATTTATGGACTTGGCTCTGTCTTTCCACCATATGATCTAGGCATCAAATCAGGTTTGTGTGGTAGATTTGGAATGCTAGAGGTCTTTAGAGGGCTGTGATTTTGTTGTTGGTTTACTATTGTATAGGGTGTGTTGGAGTGTGTGTACATGTGGTAGTCAGAGAACAACTCTGTGGTGTCAGTTTTCTCCTTCTACCTTTCTTTGGGTTTCAGGATCAAACTAGGTCATTAGGCATTTTCAGCAAGCATTTTTACCTGGTGAGCCATCTCCCCAGCCCAGTCTTGGACTTTCTGCCAATGAACTTATAAACTAAATCATAGCATGATAAGTCATTGTTTCTGTGGTTTTGTTCATTTTTAATTTTTTAAAAAATATTTATTTATTTATTATATATATAATATTCTGTCTGTGTGTATGTCTGCAGGCCAGAAGAGGGCACCAGACCTCATTACAGATGGTTGTGAGCCACCATGTGGTTGCGGGAATTGAACTCAGGACCTTTGGAAGAGCAGGCAATGCTCTTAACCACTGAGCCATCTCTCCAGCCCCTCATTTTTAATATTTTTAATTTATTATTTTTTTCAGAGAGAGAGGAGTTAAGTGCCTTTCTGGGAAACATTTTCTTAGAGTAGAGTAAGATCTGGTATTCTAGAGAACAGACCTAGAGCTTGCATTAAATGGAAAATAAAGCTGAAGTATTCGAAAGGAAAAGGTGTTAAAATGACAGAACCTTGAAACTGGACGTGGCAGTGTATACACCTATAAACCCAGGTTGAGGGGGGAGTAGTAAGACTCACAGGCCAGCCAGGCAATGTGTTTTAGATGACATCCTGAGTGCGTTTTGTGTTTGTGCATCCTGACAGATTGTGAGGCAGAGCACCACAAATCTTTGTGCAGCTTCTACTTTCTTTTGTTTGAGAGAGACAAAAAACAGTACTTTGAAGTGATTAAAAAGTGCTGTTATGCTGGGCAACGGTGATGCATGCCTTTGGGCAGAGGCAGGCAGATCTTTGAGTTCGAGGCCAGCCTGGTCTACAGAGTGAGTTCCAGGACAGGCTCCAAAGCTACAGGGAAACCCTATCTTGAAAACAAAACAAAAAACCCAAATCAAAACAACACTAAAAGGAAAGAAAGAAAGAGAAAAAGTTATGTTGGGAAAATAAATATAATTAGGTTTGGGGAAGAATAAATACTTCAAAAAATAGATGGGAAAGGGAAGGCTTCTGAGGAGGTGGTGTTTATGTATAAAACCTGGGTATGGGTAAGGAACTTGGCCATCTGAGAGAGATGAAAATACTATAGTTGGAGAGAACAAGTCTGAGATAAAGCTGGGAGTCTGAATGTGTAGAGAGGAGCAGCGGGCAGACCTGCTTTTCGTCCCACCTGCTCCCGCACGGCTAGCTTAGCCCCGGAAATAATAACGCACAAACTGTATTCTTTTAAACACTGCTTGGCCCATTAGTTCTAGCCTTTTATTGGCGAATTCTCACATCTTGATCAACCCATTTCTAGTAATCTGTATAATCTGTGTAGCACCACGAAGTGGTTACTTACTGGGAAGATTCTAGCCTGCATCCATCTTGGAGAGGAGAGCTATAGTGTCTGTCTCACTGCCTTCTTCCTCCCAGCATTCTGTTCTGCCTTTCCCACCTACCTATGTTCTGACCTATCAGGCCAAGCAGTTTCCTTTATTAACCAATGAACGTAACACGTAGACAGAAGGCCCACCTACATCATGAATGGAGCAGGAAGACCTAGAGATCGAGGCGGGTTTGAGCTTTGTAGCAAGACCTGACTCTAAAAATCTAGTGCATTTTTTTTATAACAAATTTTTAAAAGCTGTGCAGATAATGTATTTATTTTTCTCTTTTAACATTGCCTTTTTTTTTCCTGATTCTTACACTTTTCTTTAATTAGAACCATCTTATTGTGAAGGTTCCCCCGTATCATGACCAACATATAACTTTGCCTGTATCAGTCGGAATATATGTTGTGACCAATGCTGGAAGATCTCATGATGTTCAGCCATTTACATACACTCCAGACCCAGGTATGTCAAAATGAAAAACTCTGAACTAAAACGAATAATTAATTCCTAATCCTTTTGAAAAAGTTTGAAGTCCAGACAACCAAAAATAAACCTGTAAATATGAATTTCTACTAATTTGACTTGGAGATGGATATTTTCTCAAAAGACAGCTACAAGATACTACTGTTGTTCTTAGAATCCTTCCCTCCTGTTCTCAATAATAGAAGAGCTGACAGTGCTTGAAGGCAAGTGCTCCAGAGTCTGCACAGTTTACTTCCTAGTGAAAACCACTGTTCATTGAGTGCCTTTAAATGCAAAGGTGAAACTCCCAACTGAAAATTGCTAATGCTCTAGTTTGACTGGTTTATTACCCCTCCTTCCCCTCACATTAGGTTTGGTTTCAGGGCCTTAATATGCTAATTACATGCTTGACCACCAAACTATTCCTCTGGCCCTAGTGTGCATTCTAAAAAGGAGAAACTTGAATTAATAAGTAATAACATAATACTAGACTTACGTTAAATGTTTTGGTAGTTTGGTTGGTTGGTTTGGTTTGGTTTGGTTTTTTGAGACAGTATTTCTCTGTGTAACAGCTCTGGCTATTCCAGAACTCTATATGTAGACCAGGATGGCTGCCTGCCTTCTGAATGCTGGGATTAAAGGCCATTTGCCACCACTCCCTGGCAGTGTTTTAAATATAATTTTAAGCACTTCATGGTTTAGAAATCAGGGTGGCATGTGCTTTTAATCCCAGCAGGCAGATCTCTGTGAGTTCCAGGATAGCCAGAACTGTTACACATAGAAACTGAGAACCAGGGAGCAAAAAAGAAAACAAAATTGGAGTACAAAAGTAACTGGGGTTAAAGGCTACACCACTACTGCCTTGCTTTAAAAACATTTTTATTAGGCTTGAGACTTCAATCTGGAGTGTAAAGTGCTTGCCGTGCAGTGTGAAAACCTGAACTTGATTCCCTGAACACATTTTCTAAAACCAGTTGTAATAGTGTGAGCTTGTAAGTACCAGAGCTAGTGAGTGTGAGATAGGAGAATCCTTGCTCGCCAGCCAAGCCTAATCAGTGAGCACCAGGCCAATGAGAGACCCTGTCTTAATAGAAAAAAATGGTTGGTTCCTAGAGATATCTGAGGTTTACCTTTGGCCTCTTACACAAATGGACATACATGTGCACACATATCTACACATACATATAATAAAGGGAATTAAATATAGGTTAGAGAGATGGCTCAGTCAGTAAAGTACTTGTTGCACAAGATTAAGATCCTGAGATCCATGGCTAGGACCCACACAAGAAAGCTGACTACAGTGGTACAAGCCTAGAGAACTGGATTAGTGACTGTCTTAGGGTTTCTGCTTTCTGCTAGAACCTAGGACCGCCAGCCCAGGAATAGAGCCACCCACAATGGACTGGGCCCTCGCCCATCAATCAGTAATTAATAACATTCCTTACAGCCAGATGTTATGGAAGTGGATGTTATGGAAGCGTTTTCTCAATTGAGTTTCCTCAAGATTGTATGTTGTTGAACAGTTATTGCTCTTGCAGAGAACCCAGGTTCAGTTCCCAGCACCCACATGCACTGGAGAAATGGAGGCAAGAAGATCTGTGGCTTGGTAGCCAGCCAATCTAGCTAAATCTAGATGACCTCCTGATTTGACTAGGACAGTGTTTCCTCAACCTTTCTAATGCTTTGACCCTGTCTTAATAGAAAAAAATGATTGGTTCCTCATGTTGTGGTGACCCTCATCCCAGCCATAAAATTATTTCTTTGCTACTTTAATAACTGTAATTTTGCCACTGTTACCATAAATTTTTGGTATGCAGGATTTCTGATAAATGACCCCTTTGGGGTTTTGACGCACAGGTTGAGAACCACTGGGAAAGGAACCCTTTTCTCAGCAATAGTAATAAAAATTATTACTATTTGAAGCCAAACTGACTTATTTGGAGTTCAAAATTATCATTTAGAAATGATCTCTGTTGCCGGGCGGTGGTGGCTCACGCCTTTAATCCCAGCACTCTGGAGGCAGAGGCAGGAGGATCTCTGTGAGTTCGAGGCCAGCCTGGACTACAGGAGCTAGTTCCAGGACAGGAACCAAAAGCTACGGAGAAACCCTGTCTCAGTTAAAAAAAAAAAAGATCTTTGTTTTCCAGCTCATAAAATCAAAAGCTGTTCTGGAAGATTTAATAGTAGGCTTACTGTTCTCTGTTTATGCTAGTAAAGATTCGTTTCCAAAGTTTTACGGAAAGAATAATCATAGAGCTAGTATGTTTTAACTATATAGAGCTAGCATATTTTAACTTACTTTAAATATTAACAAATTTTTTGGGTTGATACTTTTAAATAAATTCATATAGGTAAATAATTTTTTTCTTGCTAGTACTCTGATATAGCTGTTAAGTTTTAAATATCTCTTCCATCCATCTCATGTCACTAATATGTATAGTGTTTAAAGGATTCTTGAAGTTTTCTGATCTGGTCAGTGATCACATGTCCTATCTAGTTGGAGATGAATGCATTTTAGAGGGTAGTCTGCTGGTTATAAAAATTAACTCAACCCAGGACTAGAGTAAATAAGTCAGTAACGTGCTGAGAAGATATTCCAGTTAAAGAGTAAGAATATGTGCTTTAAAGAGTAAGAATATGTGCTTTGCCAGGATCAATAAATTGAAATAAATATGTGACTTTTATTTTCACAGCAGCAGCTGGAGCTTTGAATGTCAGTGTGAAAAAGGAGACGTCTAGTCCAGCAAGGCCTTGCTCTTTTGAAGAAGCCATGAAAGGTACCAAGTTGATATTTCTTAGATACTAATTTGGCCATCCTAAGCGTTCACTAGTAAACCTTAGTGCATTGTCCACTCTGATGTGTTCTGATACTTAGCAAGGTGTTTTCCAAATTATAAAATAAATATTTGTCTGACTTTACTGATGCAGAGACTTGTTTTTCAATTTGCTATTTTCCTTTATTTAGCATATTGATATACTTTAAAAACAAAACCATAATAGACCAAATATGATGGTGTATACTTGGAATCCTAACACTTGGGAGGCAGGGGAATCATGAGTTCAAGTTCAAGACCATAGGCTACACAGCAAGGCCTTCTATCAAAATAACAAATATGTTACAATAGAGGAATTTTGTTTTAAAATTCTTTCTTTTTTTTTTTTTTTTTTTTTTTTTTTTTTTTTTTTTTTTTTTTTTTTTTTTTTTTTTTTTTT